CGCCCTCCTCCCCTCCTCCTCCTCCTCCTCCTCCTCCTCCTCCTCCTCCTCCTCCTCCTCCTCCTCCTCCTCAGCACAGCGCAGCACAGCACAGCAAACCGCAGCACAGCATAGGACAGCACAGCACAGCTCAGCAGAGCACAGCACAGCACGTCTCGGCGACACGCGTCTACATACAGCCGCACGCATGCACACACTCGCACACACAAGACGACACCAGTCCTGGCATAGCAGGCGTGGCACTTTCTCGACACCATAGGGGGTGCGCAGGGGGTGGTCTCTCGCTGCGGTCTCTATACGCCCAGTCGTCCTGCTATAGCAGGCGTGGCCCCAGTCGTCCTGGCATAGCAGGCGTGGCACTTTCTCGACACCGTAGGGGGTGCGCAGGGGGTGGTCTCTCGCTGCGGTCTCTATACGCGCCGGTCGTCCAGGCATAGCAGGCGTGGCACTTTCTCGACACCATAAGGGGTGCGCAGGGGGTGGTCTCTCGCTGCGGTCTCTATACGCGCCGGTCGTCCAGGCATAGCAGGCGTGGCACTTTCTCGACACCATAGGGGGTGCGCAGGGGGTGGTCTCTCGCTGCGGTCTCTATACGCGCCGGTCGTCCAGGCATAGCAGGCGTGGCACTTTCTCGACACCATAGGGGGTGCGCAGGGGGTGGTCTCTCGCTGCGGTCTCTATACGCGCCGGTCGTCCAGGCATAGCAGGCGTGGCACTTTCTCGACACCGTGGCACTACACCATAGGGGGTGCGCAGGGGGTGGTCTCTCGCTGCGGTCTCTATACGCGCCGGTCGTCCAGGCATAGCAGGCGTGGCACTTTCTCGACACCATAGGGGGTGCGCAGGGGGTGGTCTCTCGCTGCGGTCTCTATACGCGCCGGTCGTCCAGGCATAGCAGGCGTGGCACTTTCTCGACACCATAGGGGGTGCGCAGGGGGTGGTCTCTCGCTGCGGTCTCTATACGCGCCGGTCGTCCAGGCATAGCAGGCGTGGCACTTTCTCGACACCATAGGGGGTGCGCAGGGGGTGGTCTCTCGCTGCGGTCTCTATACGCGCCGGTCGTCCAGGCATAGCAGGCGTGGCACTTTCTCGACACCATAGGGGGTGCGCAGGGGGTGGTCTCTCGCTGCGGTCTCTATACGCGCCGGTCGTCCAGGCATAGCAGGCGTGGCACTTTCTCGACACCATAGGGGGTGGTCGCAGCCGGTCGTCCAGGCATGGTGGCACTTTCTCGACACCATAGGGGGTGCGCAGGGGGTGGTCCCTGAGCGCGGCTGCTATACGCGCCGGTCGTCCAGGCATAGCAGGCGTGGCACTTTCTCGACACCAGAGGGGGTGCGCAGGGGGTGGTCCCCGAGCGCGGCTGCTATACGCGCCGGTCGTCCAGGCATAGCAGGCGTGGCACTTTCTCGACACCAGAGGGGGTGCGCAGGGGGTGGTCCCTGAGCGCGCGGCTGCTATACGCGCCGGTCGTCCAGGCATAGCAGGCGTGGCACTTTCTCGACACCAGAGGGGGTGCGCAGGGGGTGGTCCCTGAGCGCGGCCGCTATGCACGACGGTCGTCCAGGCACAGCAGGCGTGGCACTTTCTCGACACCAGAGGGGGGCGCAGGAGGTGGTCCCTGAGCTCGGCCGCTATGCGCGACGGTCGTCCAGGCACAGCAGGCGTGGCACTTTCTCGACACCAGAGGGGGGCGCAGGGGGTGGTCCCTGAGCGCGGCGCTATACGCGCCGGTCGTCCAGGCATAGCAGGCGTGGCACTTTCTCGACACCAGAGGGGGTGCGCAGGGGGTGGTCCCTGAGCGCGGCCGCTATGCACGACGGTCGTCCAGGCACAGCAGGCGTGGCACTTTCTCGACACCAGAGGGGGGCGCAGGAGGTGGTCCCTGAGCTCGGCCGCTATGCACGATGGTCCTCCTCCCTTCTCTCCTCTTCTTCCTCCTCCTCCTCCTCCTTGCCCTCTACCTCCTCTCCAGGAGGCCGACCTGGCTTGTCCGTGCTCGGCCGCCTTAGGTGTCTCGTGCTCGACCGACCTGACTTGTTCGACCGCCTTAGGTGTGGCGTGCTGGATCGATCTGACTTGTTCGACCGCCGTAGGTGTCTCGTGCTGGACCGACTTGACTTGTCCGACCGTTGGACAGCTCCGCTCTCGTGCTCGACCGCTTTGGGTGTCCCGTGCTCGCCCGCCATAGGTGTCTCGTGCTCGGCCGCCTTACGTGTCTCGTGCTCAACCGCCCTAGGTGTTCCGTTCTGGACCGACCTGACTTGTCTTTGCTCGGTCGCCTTACGAGTCCGGTGCTCGACCGACCTGGCTTGTTCGACCGCCCTAGGTGTTGCGTGTTCGGCCGACCTGACTTGTCCGCGCTCGGCCATTGCGCATAGATGATAATGACAAGCAAACACATAAGATTAAAAATCAGTATGTGGGGCTCCTCGGTAGCGTAATTCCGCAACGTTGGATCTCAGGGATCCGCTCTTCCAAGATGGTTTGCGTGCGCATCGTGGTCTCGAGGCCCTCCCTGGAGCCCTCCTGGGCCCTCTCCCCTCCCAGAAGCCCTGGACTTCAGCCCAAGAGACAACGATCATGGAGCATCCGATGGTTGTCGTCAGATTTTCGCATACACCCTGCGAAATGCTTAAGAAATCATGGGTTAAGAAATTCATGGTCTCAGAACTTGAATAAAAACCCAACATTTTCATCAAAATCTTAGGATTTACATTGACACGTTAAGAATAATCGAGACTCTGGCCGAAAACTTAGGTTTTCTTAAGCATCGCCCAAGGTGTACTCGCCATTGCGGCCTGAAGGACGTCCAGGACGGCCCCAGAGGACCCCAGGATGGCCCCCGAGACCATGAGCAGACCCGGAGGCCCCCAATGGTCCCCCAAGAGGCTCCACGAGGCCCAAAAGAGGCCACTAACAAGAGCGGCATCATCGTCAGCATCGTCATTCTCAATATTCAAAACAAATATTTATACGAAAACTAATTCTGCGAGAAAAAAACGAGTACCAAGAAGACGAAACACAAGACTAAGCATACTGAACATAAGCATGATAGTAGTAACAATACAAACAACACCAATAACTTTAGTACACGCAGTACTAATAATAAGCATCACCATGAACATAATAGTACTAAAAACAATGTAAGAATACCAACAGCAACACCATCAACAACACCAACAACAATCATGGCAATACTAACACTGATACTCATGATGATGACGATCATCATCATCATCATCATCATCATCATCATCATCATCATCATCATCATCATCATCATCATCATAATCGTCCTCCTCCTCCTCCTAATCATACTCGTCATCATCGTCATCATCATCAGCATCATCGCCATGGTAATGGCCAACATCACCATCACCATTACCATCATCATCATCACCATCATCATCACAATCATCATCGTCATCATCACCATTACCATCATAACCATCATCATCATCGTCGCTGCCATTGTCGTCGTCGTGATGATGATGATGATCATCATCACCATCATCAGCGTCCTCGTCTTCGAAGTCGTGATCATCGTCGTCGGCATCGCCATCATCATTGATCATCATCCAGCCGCCTCTGGAAGCCCTCAAGGAGGACCCAGCACACTACAGCATAACCAGGAAAGGAAAGCCCCAAGAGGTTCCAAGGGAGGGCAAAATTCGAAAGAAATGGTCAGACTTCTGAGCCTCCTGCGCACTCTCCTCCCCCTTGCCTCACTGTCCTTTTGTGCATCACGTCGCTCTTCGTCGTCCTCCTGCGCCTCACCCTGCTCGGGCAATCCGAGTCTACCCAGATTACATTCGCCCAGCCTACCTGTCCAGAGTCGGCGAACCGGCGCAAGCCTCTACTCAAGCGGAACGAGGTCGCATTCTGCGGTGGCCCTTGTGCTCCGGGAACAAGCGCTAACTCGCAGGAGCACTTGAAGAGGTGGAGGAGGCGCAGCGGGAGGGGGACGTGAAGGATGCGGGAGGAAGGGAGGCGGAGGTCGAAGATCCTCACCCTCGGGAGGACAACCACGGGAGTCACACTGGCTCCGATGCAGGCCGGGCCACTTCTGGGCCCAGGACGGGAGCAGAGGCGTCCTGGCCCAGCCACAAAGGCACATGATCCGACCTTGGACCCAAGATTCAGCGGTGGACAAACCTCCCTTTAGTAGACCTCCCCTTAGTGAAAACGGCCTGGGACCGAAACCGACGGACCTGGACCCGCAAAAATGACGGCCGCGACGCCCCCTCGCGAACCGAAAACGGCCAATTCCTTAATCGACGTGTCAGGGTAGGTAGGAGGTCTGTCCGCCCCCGAAAGATGGGCCGGGCCAGGATCGGTGTCGGCGTACAGATGTCGGAGGAAACAGGCAAATCCTGGCATCGCTCTGCCACGGACCTCTCAATGGGTGCGTTCTGACCAGGGTCTCGAGGCGTATCCAGCCGTGGCGACGAGGGAAGGGTAGCGGCGTGTGTACATTTACCTCCTCTGAACATCGGTTGCCGGGCCGTAAGAGCTCGGGCCTTCGGCGGCCGTTCGGGATGATCCAGGCACCCTGGAACGCTCTCGGCGAGGCGTAGCCGCTGGAAGGCCGCCCAGAACAGACGAAACCGCCCCAAGACCGTGAGCCTAAATGCACACCTCTCCCTCCTCTGGGTCCTCCCACTGCAGCCATCTACGCGAACACGCGCGCAGGGCTCTGGCTCCGAGGCCCGAGCCCAGCGCGGGTGCGACGGTGCGAGGACACCCGCTGCAGCCAGAGCAGGCTTGGACCGCGATGAGAAGGGGGGGTCGATACATGGGGGGGGGGTTCAGCGAGGGCTGCCGAAAAGGACCCTTTTGGGCCCCTAGAGGGGCCCTTGAGGGCCCAGAAGGGAGCTTCCAGTGGCCGCAAAGGGCACCTTTCTACCCCCCCCCCCTCATTGATCGCCCCCCTCATGACCGAGACCCCCATCTTTTCATGACGTTGACCCCCCAAAGGTCTCGACCCCTTCCCCGGTGCCGGTTTCTCCTCCCGCGTCGTTCCTCGGAAAGCCCCGCGGCCTGCTGAGGGCCCCCAAAAGCCGAAAACAACGAACAAAACCACCCGTCTTGATTTTGTCATGACTCGAGTGGCGCCCGGGTAATTCGCGCCCGACAAGCTCGAGGGGCCGCGCGGAGAAGGCCTTCTCAGAAAGCGGCGGGACTTCTCAGAAGCCCTCGCGACTGCTGAGAAGCTTATGGGCACCCACACCAACACAAAGGGTTGCCTCCACCGGGAGATGATAGTCCCAAATTTTGGTGCTGGTGGTACGCCGGCCACCTTGGAAGCCCGAACATTACTGCCATCGCCGAGATCGACATCGTCATCCCTGGATGACGGTACACCGCGGACAGTGGTGCTGAGGCCAACTTCTGTTGGTGAAGCGATGAAAGGCATAACCTCCAACTTTCGGAGCCCCGCATGGATTTCTTGGGTCGGCGCCGGGCCCCTCTCTCTGGCGCGCGGAGCGCGCCAAGGGGGCCTCCGCGCCGATCCAAGAAACCAGCGCGCGCGGAGCTGAAACAATTTATGTTTATGCAGTCAGTGATTCTTCGGGAGGAGTCACACGACCGATGGTAGAGTTCGAAAAGAGAATCAACTACATATACAACATTTGTTCTGTACCTCGACATTTCGCAAGTGGAACATCCATTTGACGCAGTTTCCATCGATTCGACGAACAAGGTCAATGCTGGGGTAAATGCGCCGACCCCTTGTGGGTCTCTAGGCGTGAGACATACCCCCTCAAAGGATCTCAAACCGGGAATTTGACCCTCTCCCCTCGCCTGGCACGACCCCCGGACGAACGCCTCAACGCCCCCAGAGGGCCCCAAGAGGCTCTCAAGACGGTCCAAAAGGGCCGCGAGTCGCCGAAAGATCGCTGCAAGACGCCCAGGATGGCCTCCAAACAGCCGAAGAAGCCCAAGAGCGCCCCAAGAGGTCAAAATCTTTGATCTTCCCTTGGTAATTGAAGGTTGTTGGTTTTTTCGCCTTTTCAGACGCTCCAATGCAGCCCAAGAGGGCCCCAAGACGGCCCAAGGGGCCCCCAACACGGCCCAAGAAGCTCCCAAGACGGCTCCAAGAGGGGCCCCAGAAGGGGAACCACGAACGGGATATTATAGCCTTTCGCCTCGAGAGGGCTCCAGGAGACCCCAAGAGCGCCACAAGAGGCTTCCAAGAGGCCCAAAAGAGGCCCCCATCTGGCTTCAAAGCTGCCTCCAACAGGCCGCCGAGAACTCACCACGAGATCCCAACGAACAATCAATAGCCCTCTGACCCACTACCCAAGCACTGTGGCGGGATGGTTTGATGGCGATGTAATATTCAACGGCTTGGGAGCCCGAAGAGGGTTTCCAGAGGCCGACATCGAAGAATTAGTTTGCTTCGAGAGATCCCCACCGAAACCTGAAGCGTCGCCAAATTAGCCGACAACTGCCATTTCTGGATTCGAAAACGGTTCAGCCATGTTCCGTAATCACGATCTTTCATGTTCTGCCAAAGGATGTCTTGTTCCGTTCTCGACGGGCCGACGTGATGTCGTGACTCCTGTGACGTTAGATGCGTCGTCAGTTATGGTGTGTACCTCCACTTATGTATTGACCTTCTGATTGAATGCGTTATGGTACGATCATCTCTGTCACCAGATGATTTGAGATGATAAGGTGTTGTGCGCTCTGTTGCCATATGGTGAGACATACTATGCTACGTCGAAATACGCTATCGTGTGCTGTGTTCCGTGATGATGTTGGCAGATCCGCCCTGTCTAGTACATATGTTCTGCCCTGCTAATACGTTGAACTATGGTTAGCGGACGTGTTATGATATGGTATGCGATGATGCCAAGGCATGCTATGTTGTTCTGGCATAGTGTATTAGGTTACGCTCGGATAGATCATGCTATGACGTGTCATGCCGTCTCATGCATGTCATGTTCTGCTCAGGTATGTTGTGACGCTATGCTTGTTGACGGCTCGGCTCTGTATAATGTATTATGATATGATCTGCTGGTATGTGACGCTATGCTCTACTGTCACGGTGTATGTCCTGTGGTGCTGTGTCATGATATGGCATGGTGTGTCAAGCTGTGTTGTGTATTGGTATGTTATTTTATGGTATGCCTCGTTGTGTCGTCTTCTGATATATCATATTATGTTCCGTTATCGTCTGTGATGGTGGGTGATGCTCTAATTTGTCATGACGTTGCTGTATTATGTTATGCTATGGTACGCCATGCTAGTAATATGATATGTTCATAGTATGCTGTGTCATGCTGGGTTCGGTCGTGTTCGTCGTCGCTATTCCCTGCTGCCGTACTATGATATGTTCTGTGGTGCGGCGTCATGGCATTAACATACTCTGTCCAGGTATCATGCTCGGTTATGTTATGTAATGTTGTGTTCTGTCGTCTTCAGTTCTGTCATGGTCTGCTCTGTTATGTTATGTGATGTTATGCTCTACGTTGTTAGGATATTGATATGTTAGGTTCTGACATGTTCTGTCATGCTCTGTTCCGTGCTGTCATGTTCTGTTATGTCATGTTGTATTGTCGTATTCATCGAGGGCGCGAAGCACAACACCTGGGACGCGGACTCTCGGAAATCATCGGGACAACTTAGGGTCTGGCGGCGCCGCGGTATGCAGGACGGAATTGGCCGGGCGCGAGGCGGGATACTCCGGATTCTCGGGGATCATCGGGACAACTTGGGGTCTGGCGGCCGCGGTTTGCGGGGTGAGGTTAGCCGGGGGTCCTGTTCTTGAAATCTAGCATCCCCAGCCTGTCGGGCGGGGAAAAACCACCCAAGACCGACGATCGACCAAAGGCTTGTTATTCCACTTGCCCTGGTGCCCCCGGCCGAGGCAGGCGCTCTTCTCCTCCTTCACCTACCCCTCCCCTTCCCCCTCCTCCTCCTCCTCCTCCTCCTCCTCCTCCTCCTCCTCCTCATTTTGTTCCACGACCTTCGATCGCCCGAAGTTTTTAGGTTTTCGCTGCTGCTCAGAAGGTCATGCCAGACACAGCGTCCCCCCGACCCCAGCTCGAACAACTATGACGACGACGACGACGACGACGACGATGACGATGACGATGACGATAATGATAATGATAATGATGATGATGATGATGATGATGATGATGATGATGATGATGATGCTACTGCTATTGTTGATGATGGTGGTGGTGGTGATAATGATGGTGATGGTGATGGTGATAAGTATGATGATGATGATGATGATGATGATGATGATGATGATGACGACGATACTGCTGTTGTTGATGATGGTGGTGGTGATGATAATCATTGTGATGGTGATGATGATAATGATGATGATAATGCTGATGCTGATGATGCTGATGATGATGCCGATGATGATAATTATGATGATGATGATGATGATGATGATGATGATGATGATGATGATGATGATGATGATGCTGATGATGATGATGATGATGATGATGACGATGACGATGACGATGTTGTTGTTGATGATGATGATGATGAAGAAGAAGGGTCGGCGGATGTGGCGTAAGCCTGTATAATCCGTTCTGCAGTCGATCCCCTCCTCGAGGTGTTGGTGCCGACGTCCAGGGGTCCGACCGGCAGGGGGCCGGCTCTGGGGCCAGCTGGCAGCAGCTGCCCACGGGGGGGGCAGGGGACGTATCGAAATGAGAAGGGGCGCCATGCAATCTGGGGAGATATCATGGCCCCCGCCATGCTATCCACCACCCCTAGTCTCGGCGGCGAGCGATGGGGGGAAACGTAAAGAGGCGTGCCTTCTCAGAAGGCTCGGAAGTCCCCTCCATTCTGAGAAGCTTTCTAACCTTCCGCCGAAGACACAGAAGCTTCTCAGAAGGCGCGAGGGCGTCTGAGAAGTTCCGCCGCCTTCTGAGAAAGCCTTCTCGTTTTCCCTTCCCCCCATCGCTCGCCGACGATAATCATCACCCCCTTCTTGGCCGCTCCCGGCGAGAACCACAACCCTCCGATTGGACTCCCGAGCCGCTCCTAGCGGCGCGGCAGCAGGCTGCCCGCCGCGGCCAACAGCGCCAGGGCTGCGCAGTGCCGGCCGCACCACGGGTGGCCTGGGCGCGCGCTGCTCACGAGATCGACGTAGCTGTTCCAGCCCTGCTCGATCTTGCACGTACCAATCCGCCAGTGTGAGACGAGGCCAGGATGAGGACACGATCGGAACAGGACAAATCGAGAGCCTCCGAGGCCCAGCAACTGGAGGATGCATCGGGCGCCGCGGCATTCTCAGAGCGTCCTGGAACGCTCTGAGAGCGTTCAGGATCTCTCTGGAACGGACTTTTCCTCGTCCTAGCCCCGCCCGACAGTACCTTCAGCACGTAGTTCGGGGGACGTAAATGCTGTGTAGGGGCAGAGCTGAGCTTGGGAGGAAACATCGCTTTACACGGCTCCTGGAAGAAGGAATCGCGAGTATCCAACTGTGTTCCTGAACCCCACCTCGGGATGACCCCGCTTGCACGAACCCCCGAGCACTGGAGCAACATGCGAAACCGCGGCCTCGCGAGCCGGGCCCCTGGGCCGCGACCCCGAGGATACGGTGCGCTTTTTCACGAATGTCTCGTGCGGAACGTATCCGTGCGCCCACGTGTCCGCGAGATCGCGCGCCAGAATCCAGACCGCGAGGGCGCGGCTACGGGCACAGTCGGGGCTGATTGGAGAGGACACACGAGAGGACACAAAACCCTTCCGAGAGCCACATTGCCGGAGGAATGTTAAAGGCATGGGTCACGAACGCAAACGACACGAGGATGCTCTTGACTTGGTAGGATCGACTTACTAATCAGCCTCGACTGTACATTCATCGCTCGTGATGGAGCGCGCCCCAGGCCTTCTTATGCTGTGAGCGTTTGAAGAATCGCAGGACTCTGGAAGGGTCCCGGCGGCTAGTCTGCCAGAATTCCCTGGCGCTGGCGGGCGTTCCCAGGGTGCGACACCCTCCAAGGGGACGCACAACAACATGCTAGCCTTACCAGCGGCGCGCGTCCGACCCGATCACATGATATAGCCATCTTGTAATACCAGAAAAAAACGGCATACACATAAAAGTTTGGCGCTCCGCGCGGATTTCTTGGATCAGCGCTGGACCCCCTCCCAGGCGCGCGGAACGCGCCAAGTGCGGCGCCGGAAGCGCCTCCGGGGGGCCCCAGCGCGGATCCAAGTAATCCGCACGAAGCGCCAAAACTATATGTTTACGGCGTGTTGTTGCTCATCATCGAAATCAGTCTTTCCCGAGCGGTATGGCCAGGCAGCACCCGCAGTGAAGCTCACACTATATGAGGTTTCTCGGCACGCGCGTCGTCCGTCAAAAGGGGGGGCGACGAACGCAAGATACCGTCGGACCCAGGACGACGACATCCTCCAAGCACACGAAACCCTCCGCTGGCCCACACAAGAACACATTCGAGGGAGCCCTCCCCCAGGAGGCACAAGGACATCCAACGAGCGAGACTGACATTGCGGTAGGTTCCTGCGGCGTCGTCGAGAGGAACGTGTTCTTACCTTAGCGGGCCCTGGAAACGACAGGGCTGTTTTTTACCGGTTCCGTTTTGCCGTTATCTTACCGGTTCCGACGCCGTTGTTTTACCGGTTCCGTCGCTGTTTTTCGACCAGTTCCAGCTCCGGTTCCAATCCTGGAGCCGTTTTTTGGCCGTTTCCGGTCGCCGTTTTTTTGCCGTTTTCATTCTCAAGGGGCATTTTTTTGGAAACGGTGAGGAAACGGCCCTGCCGTTTCCAGGGCCCACAAAGGTTCTTGCACCGCGTCGACCGTTCAACCTTGAACCGATCGCGGCTTCGATCGTTCAAGGTTGCGCTCCGTCTGCTCCTGTGGCGCCTTCGCGCCCCTCATTGGCTCCGCGTCGTTCTACTATGCGGAGCTTCAGCCTGGAATGCCTTCGCTGGCGCCGCCGGCGCGCCACCCCCGCGCAAACGCACCGCGGGGCACCTCCCCGAGCCGACCTCGATCAAGCACATCGGTCTGGCCGTAGCATTGCCGTGTTGGGGCGGCGCCGACTCGGGGGCCCGCGGCCCGCCAAAAAAACTGCGATTCTGCCCTTCGGGAAGGATCCCGAAACGGCCCTCGAGGCCCTCTGACGATTCCGGGATGACCTGGGGGGGATCCAGGAGGCCCTCGGGAGGCTCCGTGCTCCGAGCGCCACAGAAGTGTCAAAACCACGATGGTTCTTGAATCGAGCCTGTTCGCTTCAGTGCTATTTCGTAAAACCCCGAGACTGGCTAAGAGAGTCCCAATTACCACCCGTGACGACCCCCCCCCAGAAAAAGCCAAGAGCTCCGCAAGACGGGGCCCAAGACGGCCCAAGAACCCCATGACGGCCCGAGACGGCGCCAAGACAGCCCAAGAGAAGCACCAGACGGCCTCGAGACGTTCCGAGGCCAAGAGGGCCCCCGCGAGACCCTGACAAGCTTCCAAGAAATCTCCGCTGGATGAGCCGCAAGGAATCAAGTCCGCCGCCCGCCCCCTGTGCTTACCTCGAAAATGATTGGGGCGTTGGACGTCTTACGGCCGGAACAAGGCCACAAGAACATCGGACAAGAACATGAGACCCTCCGCGGGCCAAAGTACCCCAAACCATAAGGACGTCGAGGACGCCCTTCCGAGGTGTCCCCGACCTTCACTTCCGAGCCAACGTGCGTAAGTACGCATCTGGTTCAGCCCCCAGCCTAAAGCCTTCGACTGCACAGCCTGGACCACGCAACCCCGAAGCCCTGACCCCCCCCCCCGCCCCCCGAGACCCACGCTGTGTTCCTGTGCCCTAAATCTGCCTCCGCGCGTCCGTCGTCATCCACAAGCGCGCGGTTGCTGGAGGCAGCACGTTGACATCGAGACCGAAGAACATGGAGGGTCTTGTCCGCGCCGCGGACGCGCGAGGCCTGCGACCAGCTTAGTCGGGCTCTAGCAGTGGGCCTCAGCGCCACGTCTCACGCCCTGGCACTCATGCACGCGCGCGAGCTCTCGCCCCAACCCCGCGGCGCCCCGGGGAGCCTCGCGCGACCTCGCCTGCTCGCCCCAGACTCAAGGCCGCGGCCGCGCGGCCTGGCCCCGCCACCCTAGGCCCAGCTCCAGGCTGCTGTTGCCCCAAAACAAGAACATGCGAGGGTGTGCGTCTCCGCGCCGCCGCCATCCACGAGCGCGCGGCTGCTGGAGGCGACGCATTGACACCGAGACCGAAGAACATGGAGGGTCCTGCCCACGCCGCGGACGCGCGAGGCCTGCGGCCAGCTTAGGGCTCTAGCAGTGGGCCTCAGCGCTACGTCTCACGCCCTGGCACTCATGCACGCGCGCGAGCTCTCGCCCCAACCCCGCGGCGCCCCCAACAACTCTGGGTTTTGCAGCGGCGCAACTCATGGTTTTGGTGCATGTGTTCCAGGCCAACATGGCGACTCTTCTATTGCCGATAACGCGAAGCTCCGCACGCGCACACGCCGCCGCGCGCGCGGCGGCGCAGGCGCGTGCGAGGAGTGTTTGTCTGCGCTGTTGTAGAACACATGCACCAAAAACCTATGCTAACTTCGAAATCCAATCGGCAACCACTAAGGGTTCACTTTGATTTCCCAAGCCAACATGACAACTTTTCTATTGCTGATAACGCGGGGCGCCCCACGCGCACGCGCCGCCGCGCGCGCGGCGGCGGCGCCGCGCGCGCGCGCGAGGGGTTGTTGTATACGCCGTTGCAAGACACGTACACCAGAACCCATGTTGACTTGGAAATCCAATCGGCAACCGCTAGTGGTCCACTTTGATTCTCCAGGCCAACATGGCGCTTCTTCCACTGCTGATAACACTGAGCGCCCCACGCCCCTGCGCCGCCGCGCGCGCGGCGGCGCAGGCGCGCGCGAGAAGTGTTTGCATGCGCCGCTGCAGAACACATGCACCAAAACCCATGTTAACTTGGAAATCAAACTGCCCACTTCCAAGGGCTCCCTTTGAATTCCCCAGTCAACGCGGCAACTGTCCTATTGCTGGCGCTGCGGCGTTTCTCGCGCGCGCGCGCCGCCGCGCGCGCGGCGGCGCAGGAACGCGCGAGAAGTTTTGCGCGCGCTGTTGCAGAAGACATGCACCAGAAACCATGTTAACTTGGAAATCCAAGTGGCAACCGCTAAGGGTTCACTTTGATTTTCCAGGCCAACATGGCGACTCTTCTATTGCCGATAACGCGAAGCCCCGCACGCGCACACGCCGCCGCGCGCGCGGCGGCGCAGGCGCGCGCGAGGAGTGTTTGTCTGCGCTGTTGTAGAACACATGCACCAAAACCCATGTTAACTTCGAAATCCAATCGGCAACCACTAAGGGTTCACTTTGATTTCCCAGGCCAACATGGCAACTTTTCTATTGCTGATAACGCGGGGCGCCCCACGCGCACGCGCCGCCGCGCGCGCGGCGGCGCCGCCGCGCGCGCGGCGGCGCGGGCGCGCGCGAGGGGTTGTTGTATACGCCGTTGCAAGACACGTACACCAGAACCCATGTTGACTTGGAAATCCAATCGGCAACCGCTAGTGGTCCACTTTGATTCTCCAGGCCAACATGGCGCTTCTTCTACTGCTGATAACACTGAGCGCCCCACGCCCCTGCGCCGCCGCGCGCGCGGCGGCGCCGCCGCGCGCGCGGCGGCGCAGGCGCGCGCGAGAAGTGTTTGCATGCGCCGCTGCAGAACACATGCACCAAAACCCATGTTAACTTGGAAATCAAACTGCCCACTTCCAAGGGCTCCCTTTGAATTCCCCAGTCAACGCGGCAACTGTCCTATTGCTGGCGCTGCGGCGTTTCTCGCGCGCGCGCGCCGCCGCGCGCGCGGCGGCGCAGGAACGCGCGAGAAGTTTTGCGCGCTGTTGCAGAAGACATGCACCAGAAACCATGTTAACTTGGAAATCCAAGTGGCAACCGCTAAGGGTTCACTTTGATTTTCCAGGCCAACATGGCGACTCTTCTATTGCCGATAACGCGAAGCTCCGCACGCGCACGCGCCGCCGCGCGCGCGGCGGCGCAGGCGCGCGCGAGGAGTGTTTGTCTGCGCTGTTGTAGAACACATGCACCAAAACCCATGTTAACTTCGAAATCCAATCGGCAACCACTAAGGGTTCACTTTGATTTCCCAGGCCAACATGGCAACTTTTCTATTGCTGATAACGCGGGGCGCACCACGCGCACGCGCCGCCGCGCGCGCGGCGGCGCCGCCGCGCGCGCGGCGGCGCGGGCGCGCGCGAGGGGTTGTTGCATACGCTGTTGCAAGACACGTACACCCAAACTCATGTTGACTTGGAAATCCAATCGGCAACCGCTAGTGGTCCACTTTGCTTCGCCAAGCCAACATGGCGTTTCTTCTACTGCTGATAACACTGAGCGCCCCACGCCCCTGCGCCGCCGCCGCGCGCGAGAAGTGGTTGCATGCGCCGTTGCTGAACACATGCGCCAGAGCCCATGCAAACTTGGAGATCTGACTGGCGACGCTGAAGGTTCACTTTGATTTCCCAAGCCAACATGGCGACTCTCCCATTGCTGACAACGCGGGCCTCTTAACTCGCTTTCGGCAGCGCAGACGCGCATGTCAAGTTTTGCGTGGCCCTCGGTAGGACGCACGCACACACGCACGCACGCACGCGCGCACATGCCCCGCTTTGGTGCCCAACAACCGCCAAACTCTCTCCTAGGAACATGCGAGGGCGATTCCTTTCGCGCCACCATCATCCAGGGGGACGCGGTTGCGGATGGCCGCACCTTGACATCGAGACCGAAGAGCATGGAGGGTCCTGCCCGCGCCGCGGATGCGCGAGCCCTGCGGCCTACCCCATGGGCCTTAGCATAGGACCGACATCAGCGCTACGTCCTGAACGTCATCCGCACATCCAACCTCTCAGCCCTGCCGCAGCCCAGGAAGCTGCGCGTGGCTTCGCCCGCCCGCCCTAGCCTCACGCCTGCAGCCGCGCACCCTACTCTCCGAAACCTGAAGCCCACTAGCGCCAAGTTCTCCCCTAAGAACATGCGAGGGTGATTGCACTCACGCCGCCATCATCAAGGGGCACGCGGTTGCTGGAGGCCGCACCTTGACATCGAAACCGAAGAACATGGAGGGTCCTGCCCGTGCCGCGGACGCGCGAGCCCTGCGGCCTACGTGCGTACGCAGCCTCAATCAAGCCTGCATCCGCACGCCCTAAGCCCCGCAGCCCGAAGCCCACCAACGCCAAACAGTCCCCTAAGAACATGCGAGGGTGATTGCAATCGCACCACCATCATGAAGGGGCACGCGGTTGCTGAAGGCCGCACCGTGACTTCGGGACCGAAGAACATGGAGGGCCCCGCCCCCGCCGCGGACGCTCGTAGCCGAATCGTGAGCCCCGAACCCCAGCTTTGTCAGAACGTCGGAATAATGGCGCCAAACTGAAGAAAATCGAGGATACCCTCCCCCAGGGTGCACAAGAACATGGAACAAAAACGAAGAACATAAGGGTACCCTCCCCGAACCACCGAAGTTCTTAAGCCTTGTGCCGGCCGTACTTGTTGGATCCTTCCAAGAAGTTTCGGGTGGCCTCCGACACAACCCGCGCCTCGAGGTCCTTGTAGAAGCTCGTGGCAGAGGCGCTGCCCTCGTACGGCGAGGCTCTGAGCTTCTCGTGGGAACTCCCAATTGCAGGGGTGCTTGGCGCGATGGCCGCTTTACCTTTGGACCCCGGCCAACCTGCCCCAAAAAACTGTCCCCAAGCGATTCCCGGCCAAGATCGTTCCAAAATGCTGTCGAGATGGCCCCAAGACGCCTCAAAGACAGCTCAACAAGTCTCCAAGGTGGACTCCAGCGCGGTCCAAGATGACCCCAAGACGCCCCACATGCCCTCCACGTGGCCCAAGGGTCGTCCCACAAGACGCCTCAATGGGGGTTCGAAGATGACCTCCTGCCATGGAACCCATATCACGGATGTTCCTTAAGTTTGTCAATCGTTGTCGCGTTCTCGTTGGTTTTTCGAACTTCCGACATCCGAAGACGACCCCAGATACTTCCACAGCCCAAAACAAAACCCGAAAACGACCCCAGATATTCCACAGACCCAGGACAACCCCAAAACAGCCCAAAGTGGCCCCAAAGAAAACCTCGAAAAGGCCCAAGACAGCCGCAAGGCCCCCGAGACGGCACACGAGGGGTCCAATAGATGCCCCAGAGCGGGAACACGAACTGACACTCCGAGCAACCCCTGGAGAAGCTCCCCCGGAAGCTCCAGGAGGGCTCCAAAACGGCCCCCAAAGGGCCTCAGGACGGCCCCATAGACCTCCAAGACGGCCCTAAAAGCACCTAGAGTGGGCCCCGCCACCCAAGACGGCCTCGGAAGGCCAAGAGGCCCCCAAAAATCTCCCAGAGGGTTCCAAGAGGCCCTCCCAAAGAGGCCCAACGAGGCCCTCCGAAACCCCAGGGGGCCCCCAGGAGGCCCCAAGAGATCCTCAAGGGGCCGCCCTCCTCCTCCTTCTCCTCCTCCTCCTCCTCCTCCTCCTCCTCCGCCCTCCTCCTCCTCCTCCTCCTCCTCCTCCTCCTCTTCCACCTCCTCCTCCTCCTACTCCTCGCTCCTCGCTCCTCCTCCTGTTCCTCCTCCTCCTCCTCCTCGCTCCTCCTCCTCCTCCTCCCCCTCCCCCTCCTCCTCCTCCTCCTGACTGCTACTACTACTACTGCTACTGCTAATGCTACTTGCGCTGTTGTGAACGGGGGTTGGCCTCGGTGAGGCTGCAGCACGTCAGCTCGGAGGTGCCGTCACGTCGTACAAACGCTGCCATTGCGATGCGCTGACTGGTCTTGAAACTACAGATGACCTGGTTGACCTTGCGCGCGGCGTAACCGGTGCTGCCGTGCTGCCCGCGGGCCCCCATTCCAAGGACGCGCCCGACGGGTTGATATATCATTGCGACTCGGACTGGCCACAGAACATTGTGTTGCTTGCTTGTTCGCAAAGTTTTTTGGTCCAGCGACCACGATGGTGGGATCAGGGTCGCGATCAAACGGTGGGCAGCTGCGCCCTTGGCATCCTCGACCATCTCCGGCTTTCCCTGCTGCGTGGGGCCCGGGATCTGCTCCAGGCGCTGGACCTTGTGGGCAAGTTGGTCGATCTTCGAACTGGTATTCTTCTGGCCTCGCTCCACACCCGCGAAGCGCGTCTCCATCTGCTTCGAGAGGCGGGTGCAGGCCGACTGCACGGTGCTGGCCAGCTGGCGGACAGAGGACTGGATGGAGATGAACGGTTGCAACAACTCGTTCCTCGTGCCTTCGATGTACGGTTTGAGGTCGCCGTATGTGACCTGGCTGTCCGAGCTGCGGGATCGGCGTCGCCTTTGCTCGAGGTCCTTATCACGTCCTGCCTCATGCCAACGTCCTCGCCCTCCACGATCTCGTAACAATAAAAAAGTCAGCAGCACCATTACCAGCAGGACCAGGAGTAGGAAAAGAAGGGAAGGTCGGGGCGGCCTCCAGTTGCGCTGCCAGCTGGCGACGTTCTTCATCGGTCTGCGGGAAAGATCCATGTGCTTATCGTTCGCTCTACTATCTGGTAGTAAGCTCACCAAATTGTGGCACACAACACACAACGCCTTGACGGCTGAAGTGTGGATCGACCCATGGTTCCCTGAAAGATGGCTCGAGACAGCCCCTCGGCTGCGAATCAAGCTCAAGCCACGGGGCGAAGGTTTGAGCTTGAGCCAAACATCGCTACGGACCTCCTCGTCCTCCTCCTCCTCCTCCTCCACTTCCTCCTCCTCCTCCTCCTCCTCCTCCTCCTCCTCCTCCTCCCACAAGTGTTTCCCCAACGGCTGGAGGAGCACGTAGACTAATAGCTTGGCAAGACTGCAAGCACTGTGGCCCAACGCTTGGCAACACGAGCACTGCCAGAACTGCGGGGGGGGCGGCGGTGGCTCGCCGCAGGCGTCTTCGCTGCATGTGGTCGTCGTCTTCGACGTCGCGGTCGTGAGCGTCGTGGTCGGGCACCCGAAGGACGGGCAGCCCCCGCCGCAGACGCAGCAATGGTCGGACACCGTGCCGTGCCCCCAGTCCATCAGGGCGTACGTCATGCACCAGCTGTCGCCCTTGCTCTCCCGGTTCGCGTAGACGGAGCAGGGATTGCCCCCGCCCTGCAAGTCCGAGCCTGGGGAAACCAACAGGTGCCGATACGGCTGATCCCTGGACCTCTCTCCTTGGGTGCGCTCTGACTAGGGATCCGATGCGGATCCAACGCTGGCTACGAGGGCCTCCCAGTGGATGAGGGGATGGGCCTCCAGGTCCTCCTCCTCCTCCCCCTCCTCCTCCTCCTCCTCCTCCTCCTCCTCCTCCCCCTCCTCCTCCTCCTCCTCCTCCTCCTCCCCCTCCTCCTCCTCCTCCTCCTCCTCCTCCTGCGAGAACCGTCCGTCCACGGCGCCGCGCCCGAGTCGATCGTCCCGTCCGCCAGGCGGTCCACGCACAGGGCCTCCCCGTCGTGGTTCGGCCACGCGCACAGAGGGGCGCAGGGGGAGGGGGGAAGGCTTCCTATAGGAAGGCACCAACTATACACCAACACCGATCCGAAGGATTGCAAAAAAAAAAAACCCAAGGATTGCAAAAAAAAGCAAGGGTTTTTTTTTGCAATCCAGGGCTTTTTTGCAAAACCAGAGGTTTTTTTGCAATCAAGGTTTTTGTTTGCAATCCTTGGTTTTTTTTGCAATCCCAGGATCACCCTGGGCCCAGGATCGGTGTATACGCCCTCCTGCCTTGCGCAAGAAGGCATATACACCGATCGTGGGCCCAGGGTGATCCTGGGCCAGGATCGGTGTTGGTGTATAGTTGGTGCCCTCCGATCCTAGACGCGCCCCTGCTTCTTGGAAGGCGCCGGCCTTACGCTCATCGAGATCGCCAGCGCCTCCCAAGCAGTAGGGGTGCTTCCAAGAAGCCTTCCCCCCTCACCCATACCCCCCTCTGCGCGCCGCCAAGCAAGGCCGCCATGCCATCTCGCGTAGGACCCGCTTCGGATCGTCGCTCGTGTGCAGTGCTCTCATCACTCATCACTCTCTCCTGGCTCCCGCGAGGGCTCTCCTTCCCCTCCTTCCCCTCCCCTCCCCTCGCTTCCCCTCCCCTCCATCCCGCCTCTCCCCTCCCCTCCTCCCCTCCCCCCTCCCCTCCCCTCCCCTCCTTCCCTCCCCTCCTTCCCTCCCCTCCTTCCCTCCTCCCCCCTCTGCGCGCCGCCAAGGTCCACACGCGGGGCCTCCGTCAGGGTCGTCGTCTGCGCGGCTGCGGGCGCGGCCGCGCCCGCGGCCAGCAGCGCCCACGCCCGCGGGGCGCCGCGGCGGGGCCGCCGCATGTGGGCCCTCGCGGGCGCAGCGGCGCGCGGGGCCTCGCGGGCGCCTGGGGGCTCTCGGGCCCCACCGCTGGAGGAGGGAGTGACGAGGAGGAGGAGCAGGAGGAGGAGGAGCAGGAGGAGGAGAGGAGGAGGAGGAGGAGGAGCAGGAGGAGAGGAGGAGGAGGAGGAGGAGGAGGAGGAGCAGGAGGAGGAGGAGAAGAGCAGGCGGAGGAGGAGGAGGGTGATGAAAGCACAGCTTGGCGGCGCGCAGAGAGGGGGTAGGTGGAGGGGAGAAGGCTGCTTAGAAGGGGGCTGCTTCTTAGAAGGCGCGGGCCCTACATTTGTAGAGACGGCCCGCACCTTATAAGAAGCAAGGGTGCTTCTAAGAAGCCTTCCCCCCTCCCCCTACCCCCCTTGGCGCGTGGTCAAAGAGAGAACGGTGAGAGCACAACACACGAACGACGATCGGAAACGGGTCCTGCGTGAGATGGCATGGCGGCCCTGCGCCGCAGCTGGCGCGGGCCGCCAGAGCGGCACGCCACTCTGGAAGCGAGGGCGCTCACGTGCATTCTTACGCGGGCCGCTGACACGCCAATGTCGGTGAAGGCGACCCCGTTTCTCTGCGTCGCTCACATGCTCAAGCCTGGAGAGCGGAGGAATGGGGAAGGACAAGGCGATGAAGGCGCTGTAGGTTGAAGGTCGCTGGGGGGGCAGCGTTGTTTCCAGGGCCAGATCCCCGTACGCTCGGCGGGCGCGCTTGATCGGTCAACAGCAATCCTTACAGCCGCCCTACGCGAGAAGCTCTGATTTCATGTTTGCTCTTGCCGACGATCGGGCTGCTCGTGCTTGCTCTTGCCCTACAAAAAGCATTGCCCTCTCCCCCGTCGCCCCAGAAACAAAGATCGCGTTCGCTGCCCCTCAGCGAGCTTCAAGCTGTAGGCATGGGTGTGTTCCCGTTTGAGCGGGGACCCTATCCGACAGCACACGCACCCATAGCCCTTCCCCCCTCCAGAATTCCATCCCAAGAATTCTGGGGGTCGTATCGGTGTGGTCGCTAGTTGTCGGCTCATGAGAGAGAGGGGTGCCCAGACATGCTAGCATCGCAAACGAGAAACAACGACTGGCGGTTCCTGGCTGTTTTCAGCCTCCTGGGGCCTTCGCATGGCCTCATAACCGTCAAAACAACGGCTGGCGATGAGAAACCGGCCCTGGGGAACACGTTCGGGACTTCCGGTGAGCCCACATCGGCAAAATCCGCTGACCCTTGGGCGTGTGTGAGACGCTGTCGTCGTCTTCGTCGTCGTCATCGTCACTAACTCCCAGAGAAACCGCAATATCTGGAGGTCTCAGGTCGGAGAATCGCGGCGAGGCCGATGCATCGGCGATGCATCAGCGATGCACCAGCGATGGCTTCTCAACGCCAACGATGCATCGGCGACGTCGGCATGAAGCAAATCGGGCTCCACGTCGAGCCGCGTCGGCGATGCATCGGCGATGCATCGGCGATGCATCGGCGATGCGGTGCGATCCCCCGACCCCATCTACTCGGACCCCTTCTAGGAGGCCAGGAGGCCCAGAACATCAGGAGATCGCATGTCTGGGTGTGCATATTATGCCTTCCGGCCTCGACCCGAAAAGGCACTCCGCACCGGCCCTGGGCCCCAGGAGGGGGCCCGGCAAGGCACGGTGCAACGTGCGCACCCCTCGCCGCCAGAGCAGGTGGGGCGCGGGGGGGGGGGATGGGATCGGCGGCGAGCCCCGGGGGGGAGGGCGAAGGGGCGGACCTCCTCAGAAGTCCGGAGGCTCCCTGGCCTTCGGCGAGGTCTCCCAGGCCTTCCTGGGGGGCACGGAAAGGGCCTCTCTTGAAGGCCCGAGGGCTTCCGAGAAGCCCTGCCGTCTCCTGGGAAGCTTTCTCGGAAGGGAGGTATCCCCGCACCAGCCGCGTGCGGCAACGCAGATGCCCAACTTGGGGTGCACGTCGGCAACGTGACAGCAGCTGATGAACAAATCTCAACAAAAAAACAGAACATACAAAAAACATCTGGCGGGGGATTTGCAAAATCGTTGCCAAAATCGGCTTGGGGGACGGGGCCTCATGATATCCCCGCACCAGCCGCGTGCGGCAGGGGGAGGCCCAGGCGACGGCGACGGCGACGACGGCGACGACGTCCCTTCCCGCCCGCCGGAAGGCCCCAGGCGCTGGCTCCCGACGCCGCGGGAATCCTCCAGCCTGGAACGATCGGCCGTTTCCGAAGAGGCCAAATCGAAAGGGGCCCTGGGCCACACAAGTAAACAAACACAAAAAACAGGATTCCCTATATTTTCTAATCTTTTCTGGGTTGTTGTCTTCCCCCCCCCCACACTTCCAACATTTCCCATGTTTTTCTTGGGAATCTGCGATTGATTGTGTCTGTGTGTTTTTTCCCCTCCTGAAAATCGTTCCACATCGAACGATTCTGGGTCGCCCGCGGCGTTCGAAGCTGAACGCCGCCGGCGGGGTCGCCGCCAGTCGACACAACGCGAACCTACCGTATCGGGGCACGGCTCGTGCGCGGTGACCGCCCCCCTTCCCCCGCTCCTACACACGAGGCCGTGCGCGGCGACAGCAGCACTGGAAGGTGCCAGCCGCGCCGACCGAAACCGAAGCCGACGCCGAAACCGCAGTGGACCGCCGGCGAGTCTTTGGCGGCGCGCAGAGGGGGGAGGAGGGCAGGAGGAGAAGGAGGGGAGGGGAGAGAAGGGAAGGGGGGGAGGGAGGAGAAAACCCTCGCGGGAGCCAGAAGAGAGCGATGAGAGCACAGCATACGAGCGACGATCCGAAGCGGGTCCTACGCGAGATGGCATGGCGGCCCTGCTTGGCGGCGCGCAGAGGGACGTATGGGGGAGGGGGGAAGGCTCCCTACTAGCGGGTTGTTTCTTGGAGGGCGCGGGCCCTACATGTATATACACAAGGCCCGCGTCTTCCAAGAAGCAGGGGTGTTTCTGAAAAGCATTCCCCCCTCCCCCTTATACCCCTGCGCGTGGCCGAAACCATTTCGGCCACGGCTCCAGTTGCGTTCCTACGAGGTCGTGCGCGGTGACAGCAAAACCAAAAACACCGGCGGCACCGACCGAAACCGAAGCCGCAGTGGACCGTTGGCGAATCTTTCTTTGGGTAATGAATTGGTGGCGCGCGGTCGCCAAATCCATGGATCGGGGGACGTGAAATCCCCAAAATGCGGCAAGTGCCGTCTCGTTCGGCGGCGGGACTCCGCGATTTCCCATGGAAACGCGACCCGCGATCCACGCCCCCTTGATCCATGTTCGCGATCGCCGCAATGAACGGCTCCTTCTGCCCGCCCTGGAGGGCGGGCGACTCCACCCCAGAGGAGCCCGACAAGGGTTTCGAGGAAAGGAACCTGCGGCAGAGAGGAGACGGCGCCGCACACTGCACCAGACGCCAGAAGCAGGTCCCGAGGAGGGGGGGCTCGCATCGAGATAGGAGCGCCGCGCCTGGCTCCGGGGTCCCTGGCCGATGCTGCTGGCAATGGGCTCACAAATTGAGGGGTGTATTCGAACACGAAGGCCGCGCCGATCCGTCTTCGCAGATCTGACGCAACTCTTTTTCATGGAGCTCGCCACAAAACAATGCAATGGCTTCCCGTTGAAGAGGCTGTAACTGAACGAGGGCAGCGAGGAATTTAGTCAGCCTGCCCTTGCGTTCCTGTTGTGTTTCGGAAGCGGGAACTGCTTCCTCGGAGAACTCATTAATTCCTCTAACACGCGCGTGGTATTTTTCAATCGTGAAAACTTCTCCTGCTGGGCTGATCTGAAGACCACAGCAGCCTCTAGCCAGCGGGGCTGGACACGCGAGAGTGTTCCTACTGGCAAAGACAGTGGGCCGAAGCCCTGCTTCCCCTTTCGGTTGAGCCGACACGGGCGTTGTGACAATCTCTTAGGCGAGGTGAACGAGCATCAGCGTGAAAAGTAAGACTTGCCCTGTCAGCATCTCAGCACTGGCGCGAACTTCGCCAGTGCTCAGCCATCGTCACGGATGGCCAAGCGCGTTCTTCGCGAACCAGCAGCCCTTGCCGTGCGACCAGGCCCCTGTTCCCACGAACGCTTTCCACGGCTTGTCTTTTCTTTTCCATTGCCCTTTTTTCTATTCTTGTCACGGCCCCTACTCGTCTCTCGGCTTTGCGGTGCCTCCCCTGGCGCAGCGCTGCTGGCCTTAGCAGCGGCGGAGTCGGCTTGCTTGGTGGTCCGTTGGTCGCCAAGAGACTTCCCTGATTTGAGCTGAGCTTCTTCGTATTTGCATCGCTTGATCTTCTCGGCATCCGTCAAGCCTCGACCCTGCTTGTAGCATCCGCCCTGTGGGCCGTTACAGTTGCGAGGGTCTCGCGAGAAGGCAGGGCGCGCCAGCTTGCTCTGACGTTCTCGCGACGTCTCAAATAGGGCTCTCGTCCTCGATTATCTTGCACTGGCGTTGCCAAAGATATTCGACCGAGTCGGAGAGCGAGGCCGACCCTTCCCTTTTCGGACCTCTGTTCCCTGCTTTCTCGCTCCTGCCTCTCCGATCGTTCTTCCCGCCAGCTGATCTGTTAGCGCCGCCCGCCACCGGCTGAGCCGGATCTGCTGGCGTTTCGGGCTTTCTGTGGATGCATGGGCAAGCCCTGCCCCGCCCCGGGAAAGTTCTTTCCCTGCTCGAGGTATCTGCAGGTCGTCTCGCCTTTGGCGTGCCCGCTCGCTGTCTCTGTCAGCGGGCAAGCCTAGCCGGCGCAGTCGCTGCCATCGCGGAAGCTCGTCGTCCGCCCCCGCCACCCTCATTCAACCCGCCGCTGATGCGAGCCTGTCCATGTCTGGAATTGAAGGTTGCCCCGTGCTCTGAAATTGCTCATTACTCACGATCCCGCATCGCGAGTAACTCAACCTGCCGCAGCAGGAACTACTGGTAGGAACACATTCCTGTTCCGGGAGGGTCTGTCGCTATCTCATGCCACTGTGTGATCACTTCTAGTCTCGGAACTTTTTGAACCTGTTTTTTAGAAATGGGCATGGCTTGAGGCCTTCATGTCGTCCGAAGGTTCTCTGGCGCCGTGCAC